CCCAGAGGGATGGCATTAGGCTCTATCAGAAAAAAAAAAAAAAACAGGGGTGGCGGCTCAGGCCTATAATCCCAGCACTTTGGGAGGCTGAGGTAGGAGAATCCCTTGAGGCCAAGAGTTAGTGACCACCCCACCCCACCACCACCACCCCAAACCCCACCCAGGCAAGAGCAAGACTCTGTCTCTACAAAAAAAATTTAAGCTGGGGCGGTGTCTGTGGCTCAAGGAGTAGGGCGCTGGCTCCATCTACTGGGGGTGGCAGGTTCAAACCTGGCTCTGGCCAAAAACTGAAAAAAAAAAAAATTTAAGCCAGCACGCTGGCTTACACCTGTAATCCTAGCACTTTGGGAGGCCAAGGCAGGTGGATTCCCTGAGCTCAAGAATTCAAGACCAGCCTGAGCAAGAACAAGATCCCATCTCTATTTAAAATAGTGGTGCCTGTGGCTCAGTGAGTAGGGTGTCAGCCCCATATACCGAGGATGGTGAGTTCAAACCCAGCCCTAGCCAAACTGCAACAATAAAAAAATTAAAATAAATTAAAATAAATTTTTAAAAAATAGAAAAAGTAGGGTGGCACCTGTGGCTCAAAAGGGTAGGGTGCCAGCCCCATATGCCGGAGGTGGTAGATTCAAACCCAGCCCCAGACAAATAAATAAATAAATAAATAAACAGAAAAACTACCTGGGTGTTATGGCAGGTGCCTATAGTCCCAGCTACTTAAGAGGGTGAGACAAGAGGATTGCTTGATCACAAGAGTTTGAGAAGGTGTAAATTAAACGCTTTGCAGCCTTTTCCTGCCCTTAAATTTGATATCTTTGGCGTAGGGACTGCATAAGTAACAGTCAATGCTTTTGTTTACACGTGGGATCTCCAGCCTACTAGAGGATGAGGATTTTGAAAATTTGATCTTCGGCTCAGCACCTGTGGCTCAAGTGGCTAAGGCGCCAGCCACATACACCTAAGGTGGCGGGTTCGAATCCAGCCTGGGCCCGCCAAACAACAGTGATGGCTGCAACCAAAAAATAGCCAGGCGTTGTGGCGGGCACCTGTGGTCCCAGCTACTTGGGAGGCGGAGGCAGGAGACT